TTAATTTTTAGTAAAATAAATATTAAAGAATGCGTCTGCAAAATCACAAAAATTATACAATTCTCTGAAAAGCTCTGCAGTTGTTAAGCAAATTAAAACCCCCAAAAAAATGTCGAGGCCCCTGCAGAATGTGAGGCTCCCATGCTTTAGCTTAGTTAGCTTATGCCAAAAACCAGCACTGCATCGAATACTTTGGTTACATTTAATAATTATTTAGGATTGAATTAAAATGTTAACTATGTAACTGAAATATGCCAGCCAATCTTAACAAGGGAAAAGAAACATGTTTCAAACAATGCCACCGAACACAAGGTTAATTAAACAGTTTTGTGGATGTATTTGAGGGAATTCTCGCTCTGTCAGCTTAATTATTACATGTGTTATATTAGTATTACATTAAAATGTTAGCTATTTACCTAAAATGTGCCCAAAAATCTTACAACGGAAAAGAAAAACGTTTAAAAGAATGTCATCGAATACATTATCAATTTGAAAGTGTTGTGGATGTATGAGAGGGAATTTCCCAACTTCAGCTTAATTACAGGGTGTTTTTAGTCTCACTACACTTTATATGCCGTACAAATCTAAAAAAGAAAAACGAATACATAAGTCATAAAAAAAGTGATATAAATTCAAAATTAATTACAATAGTTACTGCTATGGTCTGACCCTGTTTTGGGGTAGCTAGAAAGTACCAATGAAACATGAAACACAACAGGTGTTAGAAATGTCCACCGTGGGCTTCAAGAGTTGCTGTAAATCTCTGAACAACCATCTGAATATATCAACCACCATTTTCAAAAACTTGTCAATAAAAAACAAAATAATTCTTCTGTTTGAGTACAAAGAATTACTGCAGCAGATGACAGCCATTCACTGCATACTGCTTCATGATTGACTGTGCAGCATATGTATTGATGACATCACAAACTTCGTTTGTCAGATATGTTCTACACACAGTGTATTGAGACTTTACAAACACTCTGTATTATGTGTTATGTTTGGATACAGTTAATATGTGTATGTAAAACAAAGTTAACATATTCACAAAAATTAACTGTAACTTGCAGAGGACAAGGTGAGAAGAATAAGGAGCGGACAATAGAAAAATTTACAAGCTGTAATGACAACTAGATTGAACTCTTCATCCTGAAATATAACCGTGGCTTTACTGTAAAAGTCTGTACACTCCCAGACAAGTCCTTTCCTCTGTCCCCCCCCCCCCCCCCCCCCATACTATCAACAGCCTAGTCTCCTGGTCTTTGACACACACATGCACTGAGAGAGAGAGAGACAGACAGAGACACACACACACACAGAGACAGACAGAAACAGTAACAGAGAGAGAGAGAGAGAGAGAGAGAGAGAGAGAGAGAGAGAGAGAGGACAGCTATCGTCACCATTTTTTACATTGTTTGTATATTTTGAATACACACCCATAGGACACTTAACACATACGAACATTACCTTGAAAAGGCACGAACAAGAGAAGATACAATCAGTGATACAATCAAATAGCACTGTACTAAACGTAGTTTCAGCTATATTAATTGTGATTCTGTGAGCAGTGCCACTCCACTTGAATTATGAGAAGCACAGTCTGCTCTTATCTTTATTCAAATAATTTGTACGTGGTTTCGTTGACCATGTTTTCATTTAAGATATGCTCGAATGATTTTTATACATCATCAGTCTACATCATCACCATCATATCATACTGTAACAGTGAGTTTTATTAGGTCACCCGTTGCAGTTGACTGGCTGATCAGCTCCCTCATGTGATGATCAGTTACAATGGACTTCATGGTTGCCAGCCTAAGGCCTAACCAGTCAGTCAAGTTACGTATGCAGGTCATTCTTGGTCTGCCTCTTCTCCTGGACTAAGCCCTGAGTAGTTTTTGTTTTTGAGAGGTCGCTAGATCTTATTGCATATCCATACCACTGAATTTTTTGTCTTTTTACTGTAGTTAAAAGAAGTTCATGGTGCCAATGCTTTTGTCTACACTTCTTTATTTTACATTTATAATCACTCCATTACTAAAGTTAATATTTTTTTCTAATTTAAATATATTTAAATAAGACTGTAACACAACATGAGACCATTTTCTTTCAGTTTTACGCTTAATTACATAAGATTATTATATGACAAGTATACACCTTTTTATTTTACACTGCTGTCTATTTCTCGTAAATTACCTTCATGTCGTTGTTGAGACAAGGAATTAACCCCAGGTCTCCATTACTGGCAGTCTGCTGCTTTTGTGCTCATGGTATCCCACGTCAGATTACATTGCTTTATCTCCCTTCCTTCTGTCCTTCAGGTTTCTTTAGGTCATCCACATCTATTTCTATCTGCTGTCTACTGGAGAACTGTCCTAGTCAAAGTGTAATGAGGCTTTCTCTCACTATGTCCAAGCTATCTCCATATTATCTTTGATAATAGCTAGTGGTGAACATTTTGTTTTTCACATTCAGTTCTTCATTTGTGATCGCCTTTGGCCCAAAAATTCTTACTTATATAAGACTATTACATGGCTACAGTAAACAGTGTTCTTTTTTACATTTATTTACATACACTTTAGCATGGCTAGTCTACACTTTTCCAGTTTTTGTAAGTTTACGACAAAAACATGACCGGATTTAAGATGTTTTGATTACACTTTTATTTATGATTAAAATATGACCACATTGAACATTTAACGATTGTATATATTCCCATTTGTGATTAAATAAATGTGGCCAAGACCATTCAATTAAAAATGTTTTCCCATATAATATTACCTGATTTGTAGAAGTATATTATAAATTTTGTTTATCAGACTGGCCTAGTAACAGAATTTGTAGTAGTCATGATACAACAGAGATTATTTACATAAAAAGTATGTCTCCTGTATAACACCGGGACAGCGAGAATGATTGCAGGGAATTAAAAACTGTTATTATAAAATAAGTATTTAATTGACATACATGTGTTGTCTCCCAGGTTGACCCAGCCTTGAGAGGGTACGAGGTAATGTAAAAGTCCTGGAAAGTAAAGGTGAGCAGTATGATGCTGACCATATCACCCAAGTGCCGTCTAGTCTATAAAATATAGGTCTAACCCTTTATGCCTGAAGGCGTGGAAAAGGGTCCTTTACTATTTTTATTCTTTTTTTTTTTTAAAGTGTGGCATCTAATAATGTTCAGAAAAGTTTTAGATTTAACCTTAGTGCACTTTGATATGGGGGTCATTTGCACCTCTAGTGATGTCTAGATGGTATGTAATCTCCTGTCATGTCTTCTGAATCATATCAAGAGTTACAGATGCAGTTGCTGCAGAAACCCTACCGTTAATTTTCTTTAATTTTTTTTATCTCTGTTATGAGTCTCATGGTCACAAATGACTTGAACTTTTCTGAACATTTTAATATGTCACTTGACCGAAGTCACTAAGTTGATGTATAATGAGAGTATTAAACCAGAATTTACAGCTGGTGAACACCAGGAAGAAAAAGAAGAAGAAGAAGAAGAAGAAAAAAACAAGAAAAAGAAAAAAAAAAAAAAGAAAAAGAAGAAGACAATAACAACAACAACAAAAAACAAACAAAAAACACTACACAACTTTATTTTTCCATCCTTGTAGTGGCTTCTCTTCTTCTTCGCATTCACCAGCTATAAACTCCGGTGAAAAGTTCTGGTTGTTCGTCCACTTCTGGACTGCAGTCCTGTTCCAGAAACTGAGTGTTGCGCATGCATCCGTTTTACAGATCTGACTCATTTGTATGCAGACTGCTGGTTCCTTGCCTCTCAGGCAGATGCATTCTGACTTTGAAGGAAGCTCTCAATTAGTCGACTGTTACGACATGCTTTTGGAAAGGCAGCGGGTCTATTCCTGTTTTTCCTATAATTGGGCCCCGGAACTCACACGGGAAGTGTTATGGCTTATGATCTGTTACCAATTCTGCAACAACCATACCAACTCAAGTAGAACTGCAGGAGTCTTGCAAAAATCAACAATTATAAGACAATGAATATAGCAATATTTTAGGCAAATTCTGAGAAGAAGTGAAAGGAAGAATCACCAAACAGGCACTCAAAAAGGAAACAAATGTAATGAGGAGGCAAGGATGTGTAAAAAAAATCCTCCTCTGATTAAAAAAAAACAACTGATCAGAGGGGAAACAGGTGCCTGGAATAGATTCCATCCATGATATTAAAACAACTGCACGTGACAGAATGGAATAGTAGAATAGATGTGAGTCCTCTGTGAAAATGATATTGTTGATGAAGCACAGGCTATGAACTAGCTCCTGGTTTGCATTTGATAGACTTCTTCATAATTGTTTGGATTTTCCAGAAATTGTCTATGGGATGAAGTAGCCAATATCAGGCTAAACCTAACCAGAACCGCTTATATATCAAACATGATAAGTTAAATGTTAATGTTCTTACTTCACTCAAAATGAGCAAGCTGACAGGATTGCAGGTAATGCTACTTTGAAAAGCAAAAAAGCTGTGGACCAGGCTGATAAACTGAAGGCTCAAGTAGAAGTAAGATTTTTGCGAGAAAAAAAGTGACTGAATCTATAACCATGACCAGCTACAAGAACATCAAGTGAAAAGGGATGTGGCCAGACAAGAAACCTACACAGAAAGCCAAAGAAGAATAAGAAACCAACAAAAAACATAAATTATTTCCTATCGGGAGGGGAAGGGGGATTAATTTGCTAACCTCCACAATTCATAGCAACTCCACTCGCTATATGGCCCTGAATTATCAGGCTCAAGACCATCCTTTGGCCCTGAATCTTCATGCTTAAGACAATCTTTTCTTGCAGCACTCTAAAAAGTGGTATATACTCCCAATAAAGACAGATTTTTAATAAACAACTACAGTGCTATATGACCGATGAGCATTCACACTTTGCACCATCTGCTGAGGTAGACTGATCACCTATAGGTTTGATCCTGAGTACAATGACATCTGTGTGAAGAGGTAAGTTGTACTTGCTATATAAGCATCAAGACAACATCTGCAGTCTTGGTTCCATGGTGGCTGGCTGGCCCAGAGATCTCTCCAAGCTGGAGTACTCTGTAATGACGCTGTTGAGAGACTCTAAACTCTCGGAAAAGTCACACATTTCCATGCCATCAACCAGAGTGTAGTGATGCAGATGGGCCTGAGACAAGTCACCATACAAGAACATTCAGTTAACTAAAATAATTCTATCTTAACTAGTAAAATGAAGTAAGAACACAGAAAACTAAAGTAGGTACATTAACTCTCTGAGTCCCAAGGAACGCATCATACGTTCATGGCTTCCTACCTAGAAGCCCAATTAACGCATGATGCGCCGATTTTATGACTTTATTTACTACCCTCTGGGCCTGTGATGCTAAATCCCCTGGGACTCAAAGAGTTAATAAAATGAAAAAAAAGCATATTAATAATAAAGCGTATCAATAAAGTATATCCCCGTGTGGGTTCCGGGGCCCCATCGTGGGGAAAACAAGAATAGACCCTCTGCCTACCCAAAAGCATGTCGTAAGAGTCGACTAATTGGGGAGCTTCCTTTGAAGTCAGAGTGCATCTGCCTGAGAGGCAAGGACCCAACAGTCTGCATTCAAGTGAATCAGATCTGTAAAACTGATGCACACGCAACACTCAGGTTCTGGAGCAAGGACTGCAGTTCAGAAGTGGACGAACAACCAGAGCTTTCCACCAGAGTGTACAGCTGGTGAACGCGAAGAAAAGAAGAAGAATAAAGTATACTGAAAGTTAGTTGTGTATCCTTTACAGGATGTTATAGAACCTATCCCATAATTTTTTTTTGCTGTTCTGATTTCACTAGGCAATTTTAAGTTCAGTAGTTTACCATTGCTTTCTGAATTATCAGCTCTTGATATTTATGTCAAAATCCATGCTAAGCTGCAAAATCACCAGCAGATGGGATTAAAACCTGACACTGCAGAAAAGGAAGCGCATTCGCAATGCCAAAGCCACAGATGCTGACAACGTATATTAGTAAACTAAAGTACATAGTAAAGTAAGTACACAAGTAAACTAAAGTAATAATATTAGCAAAGTAAAGCAAGAACATAAGCAAGCTAAAGTAAGTACATAAGTACACAAGTAAATTAAATAAATTTGTGGGGGGAAAAAAAGGAATTTTAGCTAAATATAGTAAACACATTAGTAAAATGAATTAAATACACTTCGGTTAGTTGAATATGTAAAGGTTCATCTTCACTGCACATCTACATTTGCTCCAGTCTCATCCAAGAAGAGTCTCACAGTGCACAAGTTGTATAGCATTGCTGTGGATTTCACAATTCTGCCGCTAGCGGTGAAATAGAAATAAAGTCTTCTCTGGAACACAGAGACATCTTACAAGGTCCTGGAGTAGTTGACATCAAATCTTTTTGAGAACATACACTAACCATGTTCCTAGGGCATCTGACTCTACAATATGCAGATATATCTTGCAACGCTGCAGTCCTAAAGTATTTAACTATATATCAAAACTTCTTGAGAACATGCAGACACCTTACTCCACTACGGCACTGTAGTATGTGACATCAGATCATCTCTAAAATATGCAGATGCCCTGCTCCACTGTGGCCTGAAGTATTTATCTATATATCAAAACTTCTTGAGAGCATGCAGACACCTTACTCCACTACGGCCCTGGAGTATGTGACATCAGATCATCTCTAAAATATGCAGATGCCCTGCTCCACTGTGGCCTGAAGTATTTATCTATATATCAAAACTTCTTGAGAGCATGCAGACACCTTACTCCACTACGGCACTGTAGTATGTGACATCAGATCATCTCTAAAATATGCAGATGCCCTGCTCCACTGTGGCCTGAAGTATTTATCTATATATCAAAACTTCTTGAGAGCATGCAGACACCTTACTCCACTACGGCACTGTAGTATGTGACATCAGATCATCTCTAAAATATGCAGATGCCCTGCTCCACTGTGGCCTGAAGTATTTATCTAGATATGAAATCTTCCTTCCCTGTGTATGTTCCGTGGCTCCACTTTAAAAAAAAAAACAAAGCAGTGACCCACTGCTTACAAATAGGCCAGATCTGTAAATAAATGTGAAGACAAAACCCAAGTTTTGGAACCAAACTAAAGTCCAGAATTGGGCGAACAACCAGAAATTTCCGCAGGAGTTTACAGCTGGTAAACCTCAGAAGAAGAAATCATCTTGAGAACATGCAGATATCCTACTCCATCATATTCCTTGCAGTCTCTGACATCAAATCTTCTTGAGAACTAGTAGATATCTTGCTCCACCATGGTGCTGGAGTAGTGGATTAGACATTAAACCTTCTTGGAAAAGGCAAATAACAAGAATCTTTGTGTTCCCTGCCACCTATAGGACTCTCCTAATATCCTGAGTAACAATAAAAGTGTTTTTGGTTCTTAATTTATAACGTACCCCAAACACGAAATTCCTGTGGGAAATCCACAGCTGACCTGACAGTCCATTATTTCAAGGGGTGCAAGTGTGCTGTTGTGTGGTGGTTTTTTTGAGTTTTCATCTAGTGTCTTCTAACCCTAACCCTAACCCTAATCCTAACCCTAACCCTAACCCTAATCCTAACCCTAAACTTGGCTGTAGAGAAATCGCGAGAAACTACAACCTGAACACCCTAGAATTTATTGGGAATGTCTCCTGTGACGTTGTCGTGACGTCAGGGGTAAGTTATAAATTAAGTACCGTATTTTTAAATCAGTTCAATTTAAGATTTCCACTGAGCTTCTTGTGATATGCAAACACATCATTTACTGTCTTTTATCAGCCAATGGAACTTTGGCCCTTGGTTAACTTGTATCAAATCATTTAGTTCTTTGCCTGCTCGTGTAGCTCACTGTGTGTCCTCCCAATTTAATTCTTCTTCTAAGCGTTCAATGGCTGTAAACTTCGCCAGAAAATTCTGGTTGTTTGTCCACTTCTAGACTTTGGTGCACACCGATTTTACAGATCTGGCTTATCTGTACATTGTGTACATTGCAGACTGTGTTTCCTCGCCTGTCATGCAGATGCACACTGATCTTGAAGGAAACACTCCTAATTAGGAAAATAGTGGGTCTATTCTTTCCCCTCCTTAAAACAGGCCCCAGAACCTACATGGGGAGATTTAATTCAATTCTACTTCTAATTCTCTTTTCCATGCATTTTTCATTCAGCTCTAAATCTTTGACCCTGCAGCTTTGTTGTTGTTGCGATGCGTGTCCCTATCCAGTGCCAGCAACTTTGCCCAGATTTTACTTCAGTGAACACTCAACACTCCAGGGAAAGGCAAGACAGGCTCTGACTGCTGCTGGTACCAACAGCACTGGAACTCAGTGATGGTTGCTGAAGGCTAGGATGCAGCGCTTATGGGAATGTCCTAAGAGCTGTGATATCTGTTCCTAACTCAACTTTAATTCACTGGAATTTGTGTAATTCCCTCTCCAAATGTTCCACATTAATTATTCTGTAATATCATTTCATTCCTTTCTCTCAGTGCAGGTACAAGTTAATACATATGCTAAAATAAAGAAAATGATGACATACTAATGATACCAATGCTCACATACCTTCCGTTTATAGAGTTTGTTGAATCTGTCTCGGATTTCAGAAAACGAATTATGGACGCAAGTATTGTTTGCTAGGGTCAGCAAGTTGTATGGCTGTCCTACTGCTGCTACAGAACACAAACCTGTCTTCCAGCCTTCCTGATTCCAATGAACAAAATGTAGATTCTGCCTCAACCTAGACAGGAATAATAACAGTATAAACTGATGTTCAGACATGTTAGATTTCAATTACTGTTTCTTGTATTTGTCACTTTTATATTTGTGTTTACAGAGAGTTCACAGTAGCATTTGTGGTGCTTGTTAACATTGTTGGGCCCAGAAAGAGAGTGACTTACCTTGTCATTCATGCCTCATAGTGTTGAAGGGCCTGTCCTATGTTGCAGAGGTGTCACTCTCTTTCTGGGCCCAACTTTATTACATGAACTGTATTTAATTTAGAAGAGGGATTTGGACTACACAACAGCTTCAACCTGATATAAGTTCTCTGATAGAAGAATCAATGAAGTAGGAAGAAGAAGGAGAAGGAGAGGAAGCAGGAGGAGAAGAATAAGAAAAAAGGTGGAGGAAGGAGGAGGAAACTAGAAGGAAGGAGGAGGAAAGAGGAGCTGGAGGAGAGAGAAAGGAAAGAGGAAGAAGGAGGAGAAAGAAGAAAGGAAAAGAAGGAGGAGAGGAAGAAAAAGAAAGAAGAAGAAGAAGAACAAGGAGAACAAGAAGAACAAGAAAGGAAGGAGGAGGAGGAGGCGAAGGAGAAGAAGAGGAGAAGAAAAAGAAAGAGAAGAAGAAGAAGATGAAGAAGAAGAAAAAGGAGGAGAAGAAGAAGAAGTAATGGTTAGATCCTGCATTTAAACAGTGGCTTGCCTGCACAATATCATTTACACAGAAACAGTACAACAAACCAAACCTGTCAATGTTCCTCCGTATGTCGGAGAGCTCTACACTCCCTCTCACCATCAAAGCACAGGCCAGGTACAAGCTGCGCTTGGGGTCTACCTTGAGCATCTGATGGTCACTGGAAAAGGCATCTGAAAACATCTGGTCTAGACTGGACGTAACAAATATACAGGAAATTATTAGAAATTAAAGATTTTCACACAAAAAACACAATGTGATATGATCACATAATTTCAATAGGTAATACAGCTGACTGCCCTTTGTTTTTCTTCAGAGGGGAATTCTACCAATTATAATAAAATAGAATTGTGAAAAGTCTGATATTTGATGTTTTACATGACGTTTTCTGCTGGTGTTCAACAAGTGACAGAAACTGTAACCTTGTCTCGCCTCTTGTTGCAACACAAAGCAGTTACAGTCCATTCCAGAAGTTGTGCCTAACTTTAAAAAGGACTGGAAGTAACTAATATTGTAGAAATTGATAGAAATGAAAGAGTTGTCAGAATTGTGAAAGGTCTGATTATATTTGATGTCTGTTTCTCTTTGCATATTCTGCTGGAGTTGAACTGTGCAAAACAAAACGACCAATTTCTGCCTTTATTATACCACTTTTGCGGTGTAGGCAGGGGAGTTTTTGAGCTCGGGGAATTACGGCCGCATGACTAGTGCTGTCGTCATAACTGTGCAGGTGAGGATTTTATTTTGCCCCTGACAGAAAAAATTCCCAGCCTTCCAGAGGAATCGAACGCGGGTCTCCTGGAGTTTAACAGGTGGGAGAAATTGTAATCATGTCTTTTCCCAGTTGCAACACAAAGCATATAGGGAACCTGTCAGGCTGTGCAATTTGCAAAAAAGTTATAGCTGTCCAAGTATGGGACACAATTTTTCGTTATTTTGAAGCAACACTCCAGCTGTTGTAGGGGGCCCTAATATAATGTAACGGTTGAACAGGGTATCCGGGATTTGCGCCCAGCTGATTCTCATCTGAATGGTGGCACTTTGTGTCACCAGGTGTTTGTTGTGGGTCTTGGTGGGGTTGAACTTCATTCACTCAGGCTGTGCAAATGTTATACATGTTGCCTGTAAAGTTTCACTATACTTTGTGAGCAGAACAAATCTTTAAAAAAAAAAAAAAACCCAGTAAATGACATTATCAAAAAATATGCTTAAAACAAGTCGATAAAAGTAACCTTGATCTTCCTATGCCCCACCGATATACACACTAGCTTACTTCTGACTGGTAGTTCCTGAATCTGTCACCTTGGCACACGGTTACGGGGGTGTTCTGCAATGCTTTTGATATCGCGTGTTGCATATTTCAGCACGCCACCCCTTTTAACACTCCAGAAACATGGAGAAACTGGTCCTAACACAACCCCCCTAGAGAGTGCTGCAACCTATGTCACAGGCATTCTTTTTCTCGGAATGAAAACGTAAATGCAAGACATCACAGAAAGCAAACAACAGAGCGACACACACCTGTAACCTTAAGAAAAGTCGACCGGCCCAACAAACTTGTGAATGAAAAGTGACCTACTCTTTTTGGGGAGATTAACGCGAACCTAACCAAAAAGTCATTAAATTAGTTAAAACAGTCACTGCTATGGTCTAATGCCATGGAAGCTAGGAAGTACCAATAAAATATTCATGATAACAGGTATTGGCTTTAAGATATGACTGTAAATGTCTCTTAATATTGTCAAATACTTTCTGCAAGGTGTCTGTTGTTATTTCTTGAATGGTAATTGTGACTACTTCTTTCAGGTCCTCAATTGTGAGTAAATTATTTTGGTAAACACTTCCTTTCAAGAAACCCCATAGATAAAAATTTACTGGAGTTACATCAGGAGAATGAGCAGACTGAATTATGCGTGATATTATGCAATTTGTTCAATCACCCTTCCCCCTCTCCCCCCGACCTTCAACCCTTTCTTCTGTTAATAACACCATTCTATACTGAGTGCAAAGAACTACTGTAGCAAATGACAGCCATTCACTGCATACTGCTTCACAACTGACTGCGAAGGACATTTTTGATGACGACATGTACTCCGTTTTTAAAATTTTGTCTACATATAATGTATAGTGAGACTTTTTAAAAATGATGAATAATGAACAAACAGACAATTTATTGATTGAAAACTTGTAGAATGAAGTAGAAAGACAGAGCAGACAATGTACAAATTGAAAGTTAAAAGTACCATGCAGGAAATTGAACTTGTCAACTCCAACCTCAACAGTGCCTCAACAGACATGGGTAATGAAAATACTTTTTTTAGTGGTACCCAGCTGGTCATGTATCTTAGCATACTTGTTTCTGCAGCAAGGTGCTGTCATCATTTGGAGGTGACAGTGTGTCCTTCTATCTTTCTATGAGTGCTCATCAATGCACTGTCGGCATTTCATTAGATTAGTTGAATTAACCAATAATTGTTGATTAACTCTTTTGAGTCCTAAACAATGCATGATGTGTGAATAACTATCTGCTGATTCCTCTTGCTAGATTATTATGATTTCTGACTTTTTGTATTTGGTCAGAACACACTCAAGAAATATGACTTATCAAATGGTCACTACCACTATTATATAACTGTTGTGAAAGTAATGCACTGACGAACTTAAATCACTGATAGTTCTTCACTGACATCTCCTGTGTAGCCTTCTTCTGGTACTAAAGGAGTTAACAGCAAGACTTTACTTTCTCAACATTTTCCAGCTCCCAGTTTTAGGCTGAGTCATCATGGGTATTTAATTTGCTATTAAATATCATCACCACATTCACCAAAGTGTCAAGAACACAAAGGAATAGAAATAAAAGACAATGACGATAACAGGAAATATCGAAACATACCGCCGCAGTGGAAGCTGAACATCTGCCGATGAGTACAATGGTGACTGACTGGCCACCAGATAGTGCAGTTTTGGGAATGGAACCAGATTCATTGTTATTTCATTAAGATCCACGTTGAGAGATCCTTCAAATCTCGCTGAGCTGGGGTGTAGTCAATGTAGAAACCAAATCAATGTGTATAGAACACTACTAACCGACATATACACAATCATTATCTTAAACTAATATACTTATTCGGATTTAGAAGAAACAGAAATGGTGTGTGTGTGCATCATGGAGGAAGTGGTAGCGATCAAGGAAGGAGGACTGGCAGAAATGAATGAATGAATCAATCAAGAATTGACATCACTGCACTCGGGACATTCCCATACATGCCCCGAACCCTTCCTCAGTAGCAGAGGAGTTGTCCATAAACTCAATACCTCGTTCCCACTAAAGTAGCTGCAAAATCAAACCAATCATGAACATGGGCTTAGTGGAGCTGATTGTGGGTTTAAAGGGTTTTGCATTACTTGACTGGAGGCCTATGCTTCACTGGGAGATGGAGGGCAGAAGAAAGGATTCTGCTTGAACATTGAGACCACTGCATTAGTAAACCAGTGCAGTTACCATTTGTTGGCACCTTTCTGTCTTTCCAGATGTCTGGTGCAGGAGAGCCTAGCATATAATAGCACAACATCCAGCTTAAGAATGGAGGTAGAGCCGGTCACTGCAGCTTTCCGCTGGTTAGAGAACACGACACACATACATTGTGATTGTAACTGACTAAGAAAGCATGCTGAGGAAGGTCAGGAAAGGCATGCTTCGTGCAGAGTGGCATGCTTCGCTGCGGAGGACATGGGTGAGGAGTATTGTCTGGGTCTTTTCTCTGTGACACGCCGGTGTGTTGGGAAATGAACAGACTGGCTAGCTCTGCACAACTTGGTGAAATACTGATGCGTGATAAGGCAGACATGATTAGGGCCGTGTGGGAAAGTGTACAATTCAGAGGAGCAAATGGATCACTGCAGTATGATGAAATTGATGCAGCAAGAAATTAGGAGGGGTTCTAGCCGATGCTCGACGCTAAGAGGAAAGGCAAGACGGACGTGTAATCAGAACGCTATTGGCACCATTATACTGGAACTTTGCGATGGCTGCTGAAGATGGGGACAGAACGCTTATGGGAATGCCCCGAGTGCTGTGATGTCAGTTCTTGAATCAACTCAACTCAACTCAATCCAGTCTACAGTGTTATATTGTGCCATGAGGAAGCATGGGACACAGCCCGTGGTGAGTGTGACTGGCAAGATCTGCCTATGTTAAGAAGTCTTCCACAGCTGGAGCAGGGGATTTCAGGACTGTTGTTGCCATTGTATGTGTTTAGTGTGTGTCTTCTCATATGCTAAGCTCTCATCCTTTCTGTAAACATTTCTTCCTCAATTCCCATTTCCTTTCTGATTTACCATTTACCAGTTACCATGAAACTCATAGCTCCTGACTAAAAAATAGTTACAATTTAGTTGTGTATCCTTTACAGGGCAATGCAGAACTAACCCCAGCATCTTTCTGGCTACTGTGGTTTTTCTAGGCAAATTTTACATGTAACAGTTTGCCATTGCTTTCTAAACGGTCAACTTTTGGTACCACTGTCGCAACTAATGCAAGAAAAACCATCTGCAGCTGGGACTGAACCCCGGCACACCGGCATTACAAAGCCTATTCGCAACGCCTAAGCCACAGACACTAACTTAAGAAATAAACATGGATAAATACCTGGTCATGTTCAGCAGCAGGTTAGCAACCAAGTTGTTCATCTGATCAAAAGGCCGCTCATCGGCCTTCTTGGCAACACCCCCATCCCCAGCAGACAGGGCACTATCTGACTTCACTGAGCTGCCATAAACTCTCTTCCCAGTTTTAGATGATGGAATGGCTTGTGTTATCTTGCCGACAATATCTATTAGAGCCTATGAGAGATTAATGGAAACAGAAATGAATTAAGATCCTTGTTCTTGAGATACATCCACACTTAAAGTAACAGACGTTCTCCATGTCTTCAGGTATATTGGGCATATAGGGCTAGACCTATATTGTACAGACCAACTGGCACTTGCTGGGTGATGTGATCAACATCATGCCGGCCACCTTTATTTCCCAGAGCTTTACCTGGTACCCAGTTAAGGCTGGGTCAACCAAGAAGTTGAGGTAATTGTTTTTTTTTTCAAAGACCAGCTCCATCAGGACCTAAACTAAAACCACGACCTTCGGATCTGCAGGTGAGCATCTAGCTGCTATACCACGGTGGTGCCCATTTCCATATTTGCTCCGTTCTTATTCTCAGCAGCCAACAAATAATCCCCCTTACTGATGGTACCAGCGGTAACCTGATTAAATGTATGATTGAAAGAGAGCAATGAAAAGACAAACACCTGAAATGTTTTGAACTCATGCAGGGAGAAAACCTGGCCAGTGATTCTAGTAATCATGTGAGAAGCCAAACAATGACTGCTTCACGTCTTGGCAGGACACGTGATGATGGATGTGAACAAGCTCATAGGCAGCATCAGAGAGACATAAAACAACTAGGTAATACATAAAATGGCCAATGAACACACAAGATATAATCAAAGAATGCATGGTGCATTGTCTGGTAAAAAAAGAGTTAACTTCTTCTTCTTCTGTGGTCACACTGTTAATGGGTTGTAGCCCTAGCATCATAGTTTTCCCTATTTGTCTTGAACTCCTCGAGTTGCTTAAGTGATGGTTTTATTAACCTTTTTGCAGGATGCAGCTATGCTGTCTATCCATCTCTGCTGCCGAAGATCTCATATACAGTTTCGTCTGGCTGCAGTCTAACTAGAAGGTCATACCATTTCATTCTCTGTCGTTTAATGTAATTCAGGCATGATCTTGTCCCAGCCTTCTCTCTAATCCTGGTATTTGTGAACCTGTCCCTTTTTGTGTTGCTTGTGACCTTTCAGCAATTCACAGGTGGTTATCTTCTGTTTCTATCATCTACTCACTGTCCATATAAGGCACTGACAGTACAAAGAGGGAATTAGGATGCTGGTGATCATTTGAAAGAAAAAAAATTAACTAATCTTTGTGTTAATAATAACAAGAGTTTCATAAATAAATCCAAGAGTTTCATGTACGTTAACTAATCCTTACATAAATAATTCCAAGAGGTGTATGTACCTGATTTTCGATAGGCAGAACACAGTGTGCATGCTCTGTAAGTTCTCTCATTGCTAGAACACTGTTGTAGGGTGAAGTAATAACATCATCTTTTGCTGAGGGATATACGGCCGTCACAAATCTGAAGAACAAGATCACTGAATGCATTACGTACAGCATGTAAGATAGATATAGAACTCACAGGAGCACAGAAATAAAGGCAGACCAAAAACATGTGCACAAGGGAGCTAGAGAGTGGAGTTAAAAAGATGGGGAGGACATGGGGTGAGCAGAGGATAGGGCCACTTGGCTTAGGTTGGTTTAGGGCCTAGGCTTCACTGGCAGATAAAAGGAAGAAGATGAAAAAGAGGAGGAAGAGAAGGAGGAGCAAGAAGAAGAAAGAGAAGAAGAAGAAGAAGAAGAAGGAGGAGGAGGAGAAGGAAGAGAAGAAGAAGAATACTGTGGCCACATTAAAAGACCATACTGGTGGGACAAGTCGAGGGAAAAAAGAGCAAAAGGTAGACAATGCTACAAGTGGGCGGATAACATCAAGAGACGGACGCAAAGCAGTTTGAGAGAGTGTACAACTAAGACAAGAGACAGAGCATGTACTGCAGCCAACCTTCACTGTGGAGACGTCACCTGATTGACTGATTGACTGACTAAAACTGAAACTGTGGTGGAAATTCCTGGTTGTTCGTCCACCTTTAAACTTTATTCTGTGCCAGGACTTCAGTGTTAAATGCACATCTGGTTTACAGATCTGCCTTATTTGTGTGGAAGGAAAAACATAAACATAAAAAGCATACTGGGCGGATAACTGGTTCTGAGAGAGTGTACAACTAAGACAAGAGACTGTACTGCAGCCTCTCTAACTTCAAACTGTGGTAGAAATTCCAGGATTCCTGGTTGTTCGTCCACCTTTAAACTTTGTTTTGTGCCAGGACTTCAGTGTTAAATGCACATCTGATTTACAGATCTGCCTTATTTGTGTGCATACTGTTGGTTCCTTGTCTCTCTAACTTCAAGGGAAATGTTTATCCTATCTTTGTTAGCCATGCCTCCAGTAGGAAACCTATTTCTGGGATAACTGTAACAATATAATTCTGTGCTGTCTCCACACTGAAGGTTGGCTACAGTGTACCACTGCCGTCCTGGGGAATATTATGTGGTGAGGCCCCCCATCTCTTCCACAGTGCAACTCTCATACTTTTGTCCAAAAACCATGAGAACCATTTTTTAAAGCCATCCACTATTAGGGAACAAGCCTTAGCACTTGAGGATCATGAAACTGTTAACAAAATTTGCTAACCTGTATGCCGTGGAGCTGCACGGAATGACCGTGGAGAAGTGTAAATACACCTTGACCAGTAGGAGCCCTGGTGCCCGGTCGACCACCACCTGTGGTTCAGCACCTCTACATCCCTGATTCAGAACCAGTCAACCAGACAAACTCCCGTACACACAATTCATATTACCTGAAGACATCAGGGTATTCATCCTCCAGTAAGGTGAGTATGCGAGTTCCAACACCCGATCCTGTTCCTGGGTTGTATCAATAATTCAAACATGTGAGCTGGTTTTATACATAAAACATATCAACCACATCCCCTTCCACCCACTTAAATTAGAAGTGGTCAGCTTTTCTCACTCACTTTCCACAATCATAAACACAAAATTAACGACTTGGCTAAAAAGATTTCATCAGCACCTCACAAAAAATGAACAATGATACAATTACAACAACAAAAAAACAGATGCTAGTCAGGAAGTGACCCAGACATGTAGTACTGGTAGTAGTGAGAGTTTATAGCAAGGGATGTAACTCTAAATGTTTTAGATAAAACTGTTTTAAACACATCCACAGCTTCACAATACAATTCAATTTGCATCATTGCGTAAGTTCCCTGTTTGGGTTCCGGAACCCCATTTTGGGGGAAAAACAAGAGACCAACTACCCTCCTCCAATCCCCAACATCAAGCCTGTTGTAGGAGGTGAATCATTAGAGGTGTTTCTTCAAAGTCACCTTAGAGGTGAGCAACCAACAGTCTACATACCAGTAAGCAATTTCTTTAAAAAAAATGTGCAGGCAAAACTTAAGTTCTGGAACAGGACTAAAGTCCAGAAGTGGACGAACAGCCAGAACTTTCTGCGTGAGTTCACAGCCGGTGAACACTCAAAGAGAAGATAATATATAAGTAAATCTGGCAGACTTTTTTTTTTAAAGACCAAGTTGGATATGGTGGACGGTATGTTCAGTGTCATTCTGGCACCTGTACTTGTACCTTGAAATGTCTCATGATGCTGATAAGAATGTTTACAAAATAAGAAATGGAAGGCATCCTCTCCGCTGACCCCGGAGCGGTAGGTTGAACAGCGAAAAATTTGGGAGGACCCCATGTGGACTGCACACATACCACATACTTAGGTCTATCCACGGACAATGGTTTTGTGACTGCAGTCCTTTCTCCTAGAATGC